GAATGAAACGGCACTTCAGACTCGTTCACTTTTCGTCTATGGGGGGCTCTCTTCAAATCGGGTCCTTCCTCCTCGTCCTCTTCATCACCATCCTCACGAGCAAATGGTGTCTCGTCTCCCGATTCATCGGCATTGTTATCGTAATCGCTGTTCTCTTCCTCACTCTGTTCATCTGCCAGATCCTGATGTAATACGTCATTTTCGGGCAATTGAGTGAGTACGAGTAGTTCAACTTGCTCGTTATCACTGCACATTTCAACAAAAATATAAGCTGCTAAATTAATAAATGCTTTATATATGGCTGTAGCTTTTCACTTACAAGTTGTAATGTGATGACATTCCATGATACACGTTTTCAGTTAGGTGATGACTACCGGATGGGTCACTTGTAAAATTCATATCCGACCGGTACCCCCTATTAAATAAATGAGCGTTAAAATTTATTCAATACGCAAAAATATACATATTAACACANAAAATTGAAGTTTACCACTCTTCTTGTGAATTATGGAAAGCAGGGTATAAATTATTTTCTCGCTGCTCATTCGCCGACGGTGATAAATTTAAATCAAGAAAAAATCTTTCATCCGGAACATGTCCGGCAAAAACTGATCCAGAATAACCACCCGATGACTGGGGGTTATCTCTACTACGTACAACCTCATTTTTTGGAACGTCTTCGACCTTCACGTACATCTCCAACATTGTGATTACAAGAAATTCCCGGCATTCGTCCGGAGTCCTCAAGAAATCACTCAAAGTGTCATCATCGTCGATGTTAAACTCTGAGTAAAAAGCAACCCCTTGCGGCGTAACGGAATACGGATATCTTCCGGTTACTTTGAGTATCACTGAACGTTTTCTCACACTCATTTTTTTGCATAACAACGATATCAATGTTTCGTACTCCATTGAAAGTGGCAATTTAACATTACACTTAGCAGGTAAACTGTAGCCCACAGAGTTATTCTCCATCACAACCTCACCCCCCCAATATAATGATACTCTTATTCTACGTTCTTCAGACATAATGAAAAAATGCCCGAGAATTTAACAACAATAGAAACCAACAAGAGTTAAAAAAAATTTTGAATGAAGTTGGGGCGATTCTACGATGTTTATATAGAAAATGGCTAGCCGGGTAATTTTTTTTTATATAGCGCCACAAAAAGTGGCTTTATACACATTTAAATTATTGAACCCAGACATTATTGGTGGGGTCAGGGTATAATACATATAGCGCCACTATTAATGGCGATATGTAAGTTTGTCAGTATAACGCCACTAATAGTGGCACTATAAAGTAACGGTACAGTTAACGTTACTGTATAGCGCCACTATTAGTGGCGTTATATATACTTTGGTAACTTTTTATTTTTACACTTATTTGAGTATTTTTAGTAAAAATTAACAATATTTTGGTTCCGCACTCTTTGATATTCTATGTTTTCTTCACTACTTGACCTACTGGGCTATCATGTTTCGAATGTTGCTATCCACTGAATTTTGTGCTACTATTGTATGCTATTTCCTTCTGCCAACAGGCTTGGCCTCGCATGTATAGTGTTTATGCACCCTATTTATATGCTAAGTTTCCTTCTTTGTTTGACCTTCAACTTGTGACTGATTTCGAACTTTTCCTTTGTGAAATTCTGATTTCACACGCCTGTTAGGGTTAATTGATTTTCTTTTCCTATTTTGCCTTGCTGAATTCTTTCCAAAATTAGTGTATCTCTGTACCTAGACTCGATGGCCTACTTAATGTTTTACTACTTCTTTTATGGCAACTGTCAGCCTGCTTATAAATTGATTTCTTTCCTTATTTTTGAACCTGTAACTACCCGTTAAGCAAAGTGATCCCTTAATTAAAGGCAATCACTTGTATAATTGATTCTGAATCATGATTGTTTTCATGTTTGTAGCTTATTAACCTCTCTTACTCGTTTTCAAAATGCTATAAATACCATGTACTTGTTTTCTTTTAAAAAAACGAACACAAGGCATAAACACTATAGTTCAAACACACACTCCACCAAATCTCTCTTTTCTCTGTTACTACTATATTGTTGCCTTACCTAGCCGGCTGAAAGCCAAGGCTATGCTGTGGGGAAACTTGCTTATTTTCTGCATTTGCATTTCTTACTGGTATGTTCTAATTAAGTTTTCTGCACCAACAACAATATGCTTATTTACTTTTTCTTGCATTCTTGTCTGCCTACTATTTGTATTTAGCCCAGTACCATTGTTTAGCATGCTATAATTTCCTTTCGCCCATTCTGAATCAATTTATCATGACCTATGAATTCTAAATCCCTACCCCAATGTGTTTAATACTTGTGGTTGGTTTGGGGCATGACGGCATTGGAAATTGTTGTGCATGACCCAAACTTGATCCTCTTAGGATCATAACCTCCATGTTTATCTTATATATTGTGTGTTCTGGTTGATTTACAGGCATGTCAGCCCTTCTTATTGTTGAACATGCCCAAAGTTAACCCATGCCTAAGTGTATAAGCTCCTTGCAATGGATTCACAATCCCCTGCCCCCTTTGTGTGAAGTTATTGACTCCCTGAAATGTTAATGGTTGTCTCCCATCACCCTTTCCCTCTCCTTTATTCCCTCAGCTCTTAGAACTTTGTTTATGTGCTTTTACTCTCTTCTTAGACTTAATTTCTGCCCCCCTCATGTGAGCCTTGCCTTGGGACCCATGAGCTCCCTCTGAACTTGGACACATGAGGGATGACATTTCCACATTGCACTCATCTCCATTCTGGTTGTATAACTTAGGTGTGAGCATTGTCCGGGGTCCTATTGAGGCCCTTAGGGAGCTCTGATACACTTAAGTCTGAGAAAGGCTTTGTATTAATGGCATTTTGAGGTGGTTTATTCCATAACTCAGAGAGCAAGTCAAGAATCAAGCTTCCTCTGGTTGTAACTTTTCTTTGTACTTTTCTGATGTGATTCAGTATTCTTGGTTTGTAATAATTTGTAATGAACATTTGGGGCTGGTTAGTGAAAAGGGTTGGGTAATTATGCATGCTCAAGGGTAGAAAATATGCCTATAGGACTGCTTTTTCTATATGTTCAATTCGCATTTAGAAAACATGCCTATAGGACTACTTTTAATTCTGCATATTCACATCACATTTAGAAACCATGTCTATAGGACCTACTTGTTCAACTTCACATCTAGATAGCCTGCCTATAAGAATTATCTAAAATTCTGTAAGTTTGTCACCGTTTAGATATCATATTTTTAGGGCCCAATTGGTTATAACCCAGATGCCTGTTAAAATCAGCATATTGAATAGAAATCTTGCTTATAGGAATTCCCAAGTGAAAACCCGCCTATTTCCATTGTCTACTACATATTATACCTATAGGGGTTTGACATTATTCAGATACTATGTATGCAAAGGTTAAAATTCGGCAATTATGTCTATAAGGGTCTAAAATCAGTAATCTTATATACCATGTTCATAGGAGTAAAAATCAGCGATAGTGGATACTGTCATCTGCAGAAACTGAAACTAGTCTAACTTAAAATTCGTCCATTCTGAATTTTTTTAATAATTTGATTCCCTTATTTTAACGAGGTTTAGCAAGCATGCCTATATGATTTCAAACAATTCGCTTTGAGTTATAATTGTTTCACCACCTTCTGAATTAAGTAGATATCATGTCTATAAGACCCCATCTAAATACTTAGGCAAGCCTTAGAGTAATGACTGTAAAATTGAGTCCGCCTTTGTTAATTGTTACAACCAGCAGGCAGGCCTGATTCAGACTTCTTATCTGAGTTATGTAATAAATAAATCTGCTTCAATAATCAAACTCCCCTCGTCTTTAGTATTTTAATCAGACCTAAAAATATGTGCAAGTCATGCTAGTTATGTGCTTTTGTTCAAGGAGGTATATTTAAGCCTTTATCTGTTTATATGCTTCCCCAACATGCAGTATGTGTTTTTTCTATGTCGCCTTAGAATTTTATCCCTTGAAACCAATCAGCCTAATATCCCACCCTTTAGGACTAGTAGTCCGAAGTGCCTCCGGGACTGATAGGAATGAGATGGGTAATAGCATGCAATAGTAATCGAGACCAATCCGCGCTTTAATACCTTAACGGGGTGGGAAGGGTAGATATGGATATGATGACCGGTGCGTTAATGCCACATGTAACCCCTCTTTTGAGTAGTGACTACCAGGTATTGCATTGACGTGATCCATATTAAATATAAACCTAGGATCCCCTTTCCTTTTATTTGCAATTTTTTTTAATCTTCTTTTAATTGTTCTTTCTTTTTTATGTGTTTAAATCCCCTAATATTTGAGTCCGTACTTGTATATTTGCTAAATTCACAATAACTGTCTGGCTACTGGAAAATGAGTTTATGGCAACAGCCGGAAAACCGTTGCAACAGACAGGTAAACCGTTGCCATAGAGTTATTGGAACGGTTTAGCAACCGTTACACACAGTGGCGTGCTAATAGATCTAGAGTAACGGTTCGTGCAAAGGTTATCAAAACTGTTGCTAGAGGGCTATCTATCGCAACAGTTTTTCCTATGTCTGAAGCAACGAGTATTCTTCCCAGTCCCAATGGTTAAAATCTGTTACCATAAAGTTTACAATGCCTGAAAATTGTTACCATATTATTTACTACAACGGTTAGAAACTGTTACCATATCATTTATTGCAACGGTTGTGTAAGCTATTGCAACGTTTATTTACAAATATTCTAATAGTTTCATTACGCTATTTTACGGTTTTATTCCTATTGCAACGGTTTTAACTACCAATTGCATCAGTTTGTCACATATATTGGAACGATTTGCAAGACCTATTGGAACGGTTTGCAAGATTATTGCAACAGTTCTATTAGTTTATTATGCCCTGGTTGTAAATGAATATTTACATATATAAAAATTTGTAATAATTTGAAATTTATATAAATAAAAATATAAAACACTTCATAATCTATATTGTCCAATAAGCTGATATATCCATAAAACCAAAATGTTTTAACTCAATCACATAAGTTATACATTTCAACACTTCAAGAGTTATAGTAATATCAAATGTTGATAACAAAAAATTCATAGAACATGGACAATAATTCAAAGTTCTTAAGTAAGGTCTAGATCTTCACAATCTCCACCTTCCCCTTCTTCAATTGCTCGACCTATAAAAGATAGTAAATAAAGTCATTATCCTTCAAGGATTGGTTTGCTATCAAGAGAAGAAGAGATAAATATTGATTCAGGTTCACTTTCAAGTAGAGCTCAAGCCCATTTGGAACCAGAATCTCCTATCAGTACAAAAGCATCCTCAAAACAAAATTAATTTCTGATAACACAACAACAACATCAGCAGCTTCATCAACATATGTCAAGTGATAAAAATCCAAGAACTGGAAATTTACAAACTAAACTAGTTTCCCTAGACTTCCAAGTTTCACCAGCAAGATCAGTCTCAAAATAATCACCACCCAAAACAAGCTGCTAACAACTACCCTTGCATTTAACATCCTAACACCCTATTAGAGCAACCATAACGTAAATAACTTACAATCTTCAAGAAGCTATATAACTGAACATAAAGCAGGAAAGCAGGATGTCAAAATAAAGCAACAAACACTATAGTCATATACCAAACTCTAATTTTGCGAAGAGTAGGTCTAAGAGGAATATTATACATGCTTAGTTCACAACTTCACATTAATGTATATATAAAACTACAACTAATTGGTTACTTGAAACAAGAGGTCCCAAAAACACTAAGGAAACAAATAGTAGATATGTCATAGGGTACATATGGTACAACAGATAATTTTTTTGGTTTACCTGCTACAGTTGAGTGGAAAAGTTGACCACTTACTAGTAATAATAAGTCTTAACCTAAGATAGAATCATGAATTACTAGTAAGAATTAAGAAATGATTGGGTCTGCAGTACCTTTTACAAAGAACACTTCACTTTATCCATAGTCAGATAGTCCTGCTGCCATTATATCTAACTTGAACGGAAAATATAGGATTGAAATCAGAGTTTAGCACTATGATAGGGAAGGAAACCTTCAGAACTCCAAGCAATACAACCCTTCAAAAAAGCACCTCATCTACTCTCAATGCTATTGATCAGACAAAAATTATCTACTTGAAGTTCTAAAATAGTACAAAGTGACAACCTACTTGATGTTCTAAAATAGTACAAAGCCTCGTACTTCTGATGTAGAGATTAAAGACACATGCAGGCAACATATGAATCATCCTATACATTTGTTTTCCCTTCAACAATATAAAAGGATTAGTACAGATCTTTACGCTGTTTAACCAAGACTAAATATAAGAATTAGAGAGTAAACACATACAAAAAGACAATAAGAACTTAATCAAGCAAAAAAACTAAATGCAAAATAAAGAGAAATAATAGTATCAGTCAATATTGCAAATTGTTACAAAGTCACCAGTGGTATAGAAATAGTTTCCACGCACAAACCAGTAGAAGTAATTCTACTACATACACAGCACGTATTTACATCAGTAAACAAGAGAGTAATATTAACATTTACGATTAATCTCAGGGAACCATCTGAAGTCTGATTTCAATCGTCTTTCCAAAATGAGATAATCACAAAACAATCAACTCTGAATCATCCATTTATTATATACGCACAGTAGAAATATTCTTTCCAAAATGAGATAATCAAATATATATATAAGGGGGGGCGAAGCTGGCAGAAAACCAGACACTTTTTTGATTAACATATATAAGTTAGACGAAGAAATAACCTTAAAGAGAGAAGAATAAGTTCAAGTGTAACCTTAGAAAAGCAGCAGAAGGGGGAGAAGAAGAAAGAAATAAATAAATAAAAGAAGGGGTGTAACATTTGGAGTACGTACTGACCTTGATTATTACTCCCAGTAGATAGACGATTGATTAGTTGCATAGCAGCTTGTTGTACAAAGGAAGCTTCTCTGGGTGAATGAGCATTGAAAGCTAGCATGCTGGGATCAATCCGTAAATCTGGATTCAGATGCTTAAGTTGTGAAATGATGTTAACTGCAACTTGTAGTTCCATGGCATCTTTTTGTGCGTTAAACTTTTATTGCATCCTATGCTCCATCCTTTCTTCCATTTCCTCCAATTTTCTTGCATCGTCTCATCAGTCGAACTTAAAGAGGGTCCAAAATCTCCCACTTTTCTTTTTAAGGAAGCCTTGGTAACCCCACGTCCATACAATCTTAGGCAACCTGGATGCTCAGGTCCCATGACTGATGCAAATGCAGCAAATGATTGACTGACTTTCTTGTGATGATTGAAATCTTTCCATTTCAGCCTACAAGACCAAACTGAGTCATTATCAAATCAGAAAGTATATGACACTGAGTCAATAACTAAGAACAGAAAAATGATAACAACAAACTTTAAATTAATAACTTGTACAATTTTATTAAGAGTATCCGCATACGAGGCCTTATATACTCGATCGGGTTTTCTTTTTCTCGTAGCCACAAAGATATCCTTGCTTGATAGAGGTTCAGAAGTTTCTTTCTTTTTTTCCTGATTATATAAAAAGTGGCATAAAAATATTTCAGATTAAAGTTAGTAAGTTCATATTTAAAAGAATAATAAGAAGAAAAAATATCAAACCTCGCATATTCGAGCGAAACTTCTTTTGCCAGCAGTGTGTGAACATTTCAACTTTTTGCAATTCTCGGTATTGGTTTTGGACATTTTCTGCAAATCAGTCAATGAATATAGAGTTGTCCAGTTTAGTTTTCCCAACAGATTCAAATCAAGCTTAAATTGTGCACTTCAGTTATGTAACTTAAGTGCATTTGATCTATAAAGATAGTTCAGTATTTCTAATTAAACATAAACTAGACATTCTCAGCAAATCATGAGACAGTACTTAGTTTTACCTTGTAGGCATCAGAGTTTCAATAATTAAGATCCCTAAATTGAGATTCAGGAACATCAACCAGCCTTTTTTCCATTCGAAGCTCGTCATTCTCATAAACTTGAAAATGGTCTTTCATTAATTGATTCTTATACTTTCTCCAAGCATTAGCGATTGAATCAAAAATCCACCTTTTTGCAGCATCAGGAATGTCATATTTTCCCTACAAATTTGGTACAGTCAGGTTAGTGTAAAAATATGAAATATCTACACAGAATATTGCGAACTTCAAACCTTGATATATTTCCACATATCTTCTTTTGTTTCAAGTTTCCTCCGATTAAACACATTAAGAGGGCAAAAGGGTGCATTCCTTGCCAATGTGCCGAGAAAGCTACCCAACTCTACTACAACAATATCAGTAGGACCTATGTGTTGATTGTTCTCGTTTAGCACAATTAGTTTGTGCTCTTTCCTACCATGAACACTTGACATCAAAGTTTTGACTCTTTTTCTTTTTTCGGCATAAGGACCTGCATTAATATTAAGTAAGAATAATCACCAAAAGTCAATATTGTTTGTTAATTTAACGAAATGAAATTTGTATGTTCTTGCCTTGTTCCTTGGATTGTTCGTTTGTTTCATGATTGGAAGAATCCTCAAATTGTTCATGTACCATTTGTAAAGTACGAGTGGTGGAATTCAGTGGCAGTTGTTGCATTTGTTCAGGTACTACTTGTGATGCAGGCGAGGTAGAGTTCAGTGACTTTTGTTGCACTTGCTGCAATTGTTCACGTACTGCTTATGATGCAAGAGAGGTAGAGTTCAATGACTTTTGCGGCACTTGCACATGTACAGTTTGGGTTGGAGGAGAAGCAGAAGGTAGAGGCAGTTGCAACAATTGTTCTTGCATTTGAGCTCCTAATTGTGGAAGTTGTTTTTCAATTAAATTCAGCTGATGCTTGTCATTTGCCCTTGTAGCTTGAACAATTCTTTTTGTTTTCAACGATGAAACTTTTTGGTTCAGCAAAGATGCAAGTGATCCAGCTGCAATGCAATTTTTAGCTTTTTTATTTTTACTTGAGTTGCCTTCCTGATTCATGACTATTCAAATTCCTGTCAAATTTAGAAAATTAAATATGAAATAAATTACCACTGTCAAGAAGATGAACTCACACATGAAAAATGAAAATAAAGCATGGCTCTAAAGTTTACTCATTGATAGGAAAATAAGATATAGAATTTATTTGTGGAGAAAAAATAGTATAAAATAGAGAGAACATGAATTCATCTATGAGAAAAGTCTAATTTGTAAAACCTTACCCAATGTATCAGCACTTTGCTGATGATTTTCTAGCTCCTCTATTATCTCTCTAATACTTGTTACCAGCAAAAGTAGAAATTATTCTGGGTAAAAGTGACTTCAAACGGGGTTCTGAATCAGGGTTGCTACTGTATTTTGCCAACAATTCTTTTTATCTCCTCATCTGGATCCTCAGAGCTATTTTAAGAAGACGAAATAACCTATTATAAAGTTGTAACATGTAACTGAAATGATTTGTATCAGTAGCACAATACAAGTTATCAGAAGGCATAAGAAAAAATGATCTGAAGCATCTGAGAAAAAAATACTCTATACCAGATGTGCCTCATGAAATAATGATTAGGGTCCAGCAATAGAAGCACTAAAAAGCTTCAACAAAGCCTTGACAAGAAGACCAACTAAACATACATATCTCTGAACAAATCAAGAATATCTACAAACAAACAGGTTTTATTGGATCCATCTATTCTTTAATAACATATTTCTCCACAGTACTTGACTGTACCATATTCAATTTGAAATCACCATACTTAAAACAGTCCTACACAATACCTACATCTTGACAGACCCAAAGAGAATAAAATTTATCGAAAACACAAAGGCCAAGAAAAAGTTCATGGAATGGTATGTAAAGCAGATTTCAGAGATAGAAAGAGAGATCAAGTCAAGAAAAATCAGGCAGAAGTTAAATCTAAATAAGTAGGTAAGATATCTAACATGTGAAGTCACATATGTAACTACTTCTTATATTTAACAGTAAGAAGATAGATTTCTTAGTAAGGTCACATATGTTATTTTTGCTAACAAGTTTGCTAATTTTAGCATGTACATTGTTATACAAAATAAAAAAACATAATGTACTAATAGAAAGTAAAAGAAGGAAAAGCATTTAACATGACAAGTGTTATAAAACTTATTCAATAGTTTTACTAGTTAAGAGAAAGCATTATCAGTAAGAAGAAAGGAAAGAAGGCAGAAGGAAACCGAAGACAAACTGATACATTATACCATACATGTGATCCATTAATCTAAAATCAGATTTTGTGTTCCACTAGCCGAGGCACATTCACACGGGTAAAAGACAACAAAAGGAAGCTGCAACATTTTGAGGAAGTTATTGTAATATTCCACTGTTTTGGAGCCAAGGAAGTTTACAAGGTTAAAAGTAGTTTGATATGATGATTTGTATAACTATATCATAGTTCATTTACTCCTTTTGTTTTTTTCTAGCTTAACTGTTCATAGCAGCAAAACTGTACAAGAGAGTGGTCCTCTCTTCACTAACCATGTATTTGCATCTTTGTTTAAAAGAAAAGACAGCAGATGGGGATCATGTCCTGGACCACGCACATGTGACTTTATGGCTTCTCTATCAATTAAATTTATAAAGAAATTATGTCCGATTGTGCAAAGCGCGGACACATTAACTAGTTGAACACATATATAGTAGGTTAGTCGAACTACGGATGATCTAAAACAACTCAAATTGAATATGGGAGACCTCTCTTATAGAGTTTGATCCCTAAACTAGAAGGCTTAGCATTACAACAGATGTTACAGGAATTGTGCATTGCGTGTTATTGAGAACAGTTTTTATCAAAACAAGGAGACGACATTCTACAATCAAAATTGCAGGGGAGGTACCGCTCTAACATAGCTCATGCCATTCAGAGTCGATAACCCAAACTACCCAACTTAATAGCTCATGCAATAGAAAATTCAATGTAACTTTCCGGAGAAATTTAGTTCATATAAGAATTCACAATATTTACTGAAATACATTTTGACCTACATTAGCCATATCCAAATGAAAATTAAGCCCAAACAATTTGGGTTATAAACATAAAAAAAAGAAGCAAGAAATCATATACACTGCTCACACCATAATGCTTAAAGAAAAAGAAAAAAGAATGATTATATAGAAGATAATGCCCAAATTAGGAAAAAATACCTGAAAATGATTACTCACAGATTGTCTTTTGGATCGAAAATTTCTCACGATTGGAATATTTTCTTCACCTGTAATCGCTGTCTTTAATTATTCTTATGTTCTTCATCTCCTTCGAGTTAAATAAATGGATTTTAGGACTTTGGGGATTTTGGGACTTTGAGGATTTGGGAGTTTAGGGTTAGCAGTCGAGATTAGGGGGTTTTGGGTTAATGAATGGACCTTGGGAATTTAGGGTTAGCCACTTGACAAAGATAACTGATTTCATTAGTGAATTGAGTTTTGTGGATGGATGGACTTTGGACGTGTCGACAACGATAGTTTTGTGGAGAATGGACAATAAAGTACTCTTTAAATTCATTATTACATTTACATTAATAAAATATATAAAAAAATAAAAGGAAAAGGGGGTTATTGGCGGATTTAGCAAAATTGAGCGGAAAACGAAGAGGGAACAAATACTCGTTCCAATAACAAAATTTTCAAACATTGTTCCTATAAATAGGTATATTGTGACGGTTTATAAAACCGTTCCTATAAAAATACCTATGGTAACGGTTAAGTGTCAACTGGAACGGTTTAGTTTCTAAATTGTGTTGGTTTCATCCAAATGTTATCGTAACAATTGTAACCGTTACAATATTCAGTCTATTGCCACGGTTTTAGAATCGTTCCAGGAAAATTGTTCCAATAGGCCTATTTTCTAGTAGTGCGTGGATCCTGAGGGATGCATAACACCTTCACCTTGGGATAACTTCAAGACCTTACCCTATCTCTGGTTATTCAAATGACTTAGAATTGAACCTCATTGGTGTCCTAATGCACCTTAAATCATTAGGTGGCAACTCTTCAAAAATGCAAAACTCGGTTCCTGAAGGAACGAGTTGTCCCATACCAGATGTCATAAACCCAATTTCACGAGAAAAAGGGGGCACGACAGCATGGCGACTCTACTGGGGATTTTTAGGCTTTTACCATTTCAGACTATCATTGTGAATTTATGCTCCTTTATGTGCAATTACTTGTTTAATTTCTTTAAGCATTCAATTCCCTTTTCAATTGCAAAACTGACTTCTTTTTTTGTTTCCTCCTTTTATTACTGCTTCAAATTATGAAACTACTGTATTTACTGCTTTCTTAACGTGTAAATACATGCCAACATGCTTTTAATTATTGCATAATCATGCTCAACATCATATCTCACTCATGCCCAAACAAATATCATAGCAACGCTTAAAATGAGTGGTTGCGCTCTTCCTATATTATTATCCCTAAATTCGAAAAAAGCATATTTGCGGTAAAACCAGTCGATCAACGGTGTAGTCGACGGTTCCGTGCCTTTCCCCTTTGAGTTGTCCGCTCAAGGGTACCAGTCTAAAACCCCATAGAAACCTTACTCTGTTTAAACTGTGCATGCATCATGGTTAAACCTAGCCGAGTCAGTTATGTTATCCACATAATGACTCTTTAAGATATGCCTTGTCCAAAGTCCACAGGATTTCCCTAAACCCAAACGGACATCACCACATTCTGTGCATTTATTTGGAGAACTAAATGCTTTATGCCGATTGTTGATATTAAATAGTCGAGTCTGGTGGGGGTAAGGGCCTAACCTTATTTGTCTTGCAGAAATATGAGGCACGAAGTCCCCAGATTCGGCATGGTCATTAACATCCACCGAAAATTGCTAAGCTGGTGGGAGGACCTTCACTCTAGTGATCAAACTCTTATTCGGAAATATCTGGGCAATCTATCTTCTATTCTGGAGATTCGACCCAACAACAGGATCATAGAAGCTGCTACTTTGTTCTGGGACTGTGAGAGGGTTGTATTCCGCTTCGGGGACATTGAGATGTCACCCTTGCTATAAGAGATAGGAGGATTGGCCGGTATAGCATGGGAAACTCTGGGTTTGTTAATGCTTGAGAACCGCAAGGGCAGGGGCTTCCTCAAAATGATGGGTTTGAAGAAGAACCCAGAACTGACATGTTTGAAAGAATCCTACATCCCTTTTGATTATTTGTATGAGAGGTACGGGCACAGCAAATCCTACCATACCTATCCTGACGAGTTTGCCATCACATCATTAGAGCATATTCAACGAAGGGTCTTTGTATTCATGTTTTGTTTCCTCGGGTTAATTGTGTATCCCATGAAGAAAGCAAGAATCCATACCAAGCTGGCTATGGTAACTAGGACCTTAATGGAGGGAATTGGTGGACAACCATTGAGCATTGTGCCCATGATCATTGCGGAAATA